CAATTTAAAAGCAGGATAGTAAAACGTCAATTCAAATTTCAACTGCATAGTTAAGCATCAAAGTTCTATTGACAGCTACTCTCTGTATGGGAAGTATGTATGGAAAGCCTTGTGTGAATTTGCGCAATCATTGTTCAACTGACGATTTGGCCTTGGTCAAACATGATCCAGTTAATCTGTATCTTATGGAAATCTTTATAAAGTTTTCCATATTAGTCTTTGTTTACTCTGCACGATTCGATACAATCAATTCTCCCATCTGTCTCTTCTTGACCCTGGGATCATTCTCACTCATGTACCTACATGAAAGCTCAACACCAGTTCCCTACAGAATCCTGGCAAAGTTTGTGGTCCACCGTGAGCATTAAACTTGGCTGGTCATTCATTGTTTGGTTGTAGAATTGCCCAATTCGGATAGGCAGATGCGAATGCCTCCCTTCTCTTCAACGAATCTCTTCAACGAATCTCTTCGGACGTCTATTGGAAACCCCGATCTTAAAGGCTTCAGGCTCGTCCAGTATATCGATACCCCCCAAAAAGACAAACGATTAAGAGATCGAGTTATTGGGAAAGTAATAAGAGTGCTGTTATCTGGAAAATCGAATCGTACCTTCTCGCTCTCTCACTCCGAACTTTTGAGCTATTGATCAATGGAAACGATCCGGCGTATCACCTTATCGAATTACTTTCTATCTGGTCGTACTATCACTTGTTAGAAGAGTAGCATGGTGGAAGTTTTACATTCTCAAATTTTCACTGCTTTCAGATCCTCTTATACGCTTGAAAATCTTTGATATTGATCGGCATCTGGAGAGAGGTCATCACAGTATCACGTGAACACCTCGGGTAGTGCCGAAAAGCGGAGAAACTCCCCTGCACCTGCCACCTCCATTCTTTGACCTGTCAAATTCTATTTAGCTAAGAAATTACTTACTCCACAGCTTGATACATACATCGATTTATTGGGTGGAAAAAATATACCAAGTTTATCCGTGATCTCGCGGGGGTAACCATACAACTGTCAAAGAAATCCACACCGTCCCGATCGAAGTTGTCGCGTGCCGAGGAATCTGCCAACAATTTGGTTCCTGGGGGACTCATGTGGCTTGATTCCCGTTGGTTTATATGATTGGCAAATTACGGTAGAACCATATTCCGAAATTCGAAAGTTTAATATGTCTACAAGATCGCCAATGTACTACCCCTCTCAGAATCCATGTTCGGGCCAGAATCGTCCGATATCTCTTGTTCTATTGGGCAGCTTAAAGATATACATACTGGGTATATATTACCATCCTCGGTACAAACGACTTTGAAGTTTGAACTACTACTTCGTAGTGGGTCGCTTATACGAAGCTGCATGTTAAGCACTTATGAAGTCATATATACAAAAAGTTGTGTATAAAAGAGCTTGATCCTAGATGTTGTTTCCTCGAGCAAGCAATCAGGTCCTTTGCTCATCTCCTACGCACCATGCTGCTGCAGTCACTATTTGCGTGGGCACTGACTCTAGGGTCATGCGTCGCCCAGAACAGTACAAATGGTACATGGCCAATACACAACAATGGTCTCACTACGCAGATTGAATGGGATCATTATAGTATGATAGTCAATGGACAACGTTTCTTTTTATGGTCCGGCGAGCTTCATTATTGGCGACTTCCCGTGCCGGAACTGTGGGTTGATGTTCTACAAAAGATTAAGGCTGCTGGTTTTAATACTTTTGCGATTTATACACATTGGTACTTTCATAATCCAAACCCTGAAACGCTCGACTTCGAGAATGCAGCACATGATTTCACAAAGATCTTTGACCTTGCTAAAGAATTGGGAATGGTATGGTTCAATAATCTAATCTCGGTTCAAGAATAAAATGATTTGGCTAATCACATATTTAGTATGTCGTGTTTCGCCCAGGGCCTTATGTCAATGCCGAGTCCAATGCTGGAGCTTTCCCATTATGGTTGACCACTGGGGCTTACGGAGCTCTTCGAAATAATGATACTCGCTATACTGAAGCCTGGACACCTTTCTGGGAGAAGGTTGCCTCTATAGTTGCCCCATATCAACTTACCAATGGAGGAAATGTTCTCACTTATCAAATTGAGAACGAGCTAGGTTCACAATGGCGTGGAACCCCATCCAAAAAGATTCCCAATTTATCTTCCGTTCAGTATATGGAAGCATTGGAAGCCTCTGCACGAGCTCAAGGTATCACAATACCATTCCAAGCCAACGATCCTAATCTCAACTCAGACTCTTGGTCGAAAGATTTCTATGATGGCTATGGCTCAGTAGACATCTATGGTATGGATTCTTATCCAGCATGCTGGACTTGCAATTTGACAGAGTGCGATTCCACAAACGGAGCATACAAACCTTTCAACGTCATCGATTATTATGATCATTTCGAAGCAATTTCACCAACTCAGCCATCATTTCTTCCAGAATTTCAAGGTGGTAGTTTCAATCCTTGGGGTGGCCCTGAAGGCGGATGTCCAGAAAACTCTCCCCCCGATTTCGCAAATCTCTTCTATCGCAATAACGTTGGACAAAGAGTGACAGCCATGAGTCTCTATATGCTTTACGGAGGAACAAACTGGGGTTGGTTAGCTGCCCCTGTCGTAGCAACTAGTTACGATTACTCGAGTCCAATCTCTGAAAACAGAATGATTAATGACAAGTATGCCGAAACCAAATTGTTCGGCCAATTCCTTCGTGTGGCCAAAGATTTGACAAAGACTGATCGAATTGGCACAAACCAAACGGCTTCTACCAATCCAAATATCGTATACTCCGAACTACGCAACCCAGACACAAATGGCGCGTTCTACGTTACGATCCACCAGGAATCTACAGTTGGTACTAGAGAGGAATTCTACATCCACGCTAACACATCCAAAGGGGAGTTCACGATTCCTCAAAAGGCTGCGCCCATTGTTTTGGATGGCTTCCAATCTAAGATTATCGTTACAGACTTCAGCTTTGGATCTCACTCGCTATTGTACTCCACTGCTGAAGTTTTATCCCATTCTTTTGTAGATGAGCAAGACATTCTAGCTCTCTGGATGCCAACTGGTGAAGCTGGCGAATTCGTTATCACTGGTGCAAAATCCGGCAAGGTTTCCAGCTGCGGAGGTTGCTCTTCCGTTGGTTTCTACCCACAAGGGGATGATCTCCTCGTCACCATCTCTCAATCCAAAGGTATCAGTATCTTGACATTTGACGATGGACTTCGTGTCCTTGTCATGGATAGATCATACGCATATGAATTCTGGGTCCCAGTTCTCACAGCAGATCCATTCAGTCCTGCGAACGAAACTGTGTTTGTTCACGGCCCAAATCTAGTCCGAAGCGTTGCCTACTCCTCCGATGGTACAACTTTGGAGCTCACCGGAGACAACAATGGAACTTCGACACAGATCGAGGTTTTCCCACCCAAGGCCGTAAGCAAAGTCACATGGAACGGTCAATCTATCACGACATCCAAGACAGATTACGGTAGCTTAATCGGCAGTCTTACCGGCCCCACACTTGATTCTTTGACTTTACCAGAGATTTCTGGCTGGAAATCAAATGACAGCTTACCTGAACGTCTATCTACCTATGATGACAGCTGGTGGGTCGCTGCCGATCACATGAACACTTCAAATCCAACCAAGCCAGAAACACTTCCAGTGCTCTACATCGACGATTATGGATACCATGTTGGAAATCATCTCTGGCGTGGAAGATTCGAAGGCTCAGCAAGCGGAGTATATCTCAGTGTCACTGGAGGACGTGCTTTCGGATACAGTGCCTGGCTGAATGGCGACTTTATCGGCTCATATCTAGGAGCTGCCTACCCAGATACAGGAGAATTGACACTTTCGTTCAGTAATGTCACTGTCAACTCAAACTCTACCAACATCCTTCTCGTCCTTCAAGATAACTCTGGCCATGATGAGACCAGTGAGGCTCTCAATCCACGAGGAATCAATAACGCAACTTTGATCAGTTCTTCTGCCAAGAATTTCACATCATGGAAAGTCACCGGTACGGCTGGTAAGCCAGATACAGCAATCGATCCTGTCCGTGGTATTCTCTCAGAGGGTGGTCTCTATGCCGAACGTCTCGGATGGCATCTTCCAGGTTTCGACGACAGTGAATGGTCCTCCGCATCCCCAAGGAACGTTTCTTCTTCAGCCGGCGTGACATTCTACCGCACCACCGTTCCTTTGGCCATTCCCACAGGTCTCGACGTGGCAATATCTTTCACACTCAACGCCTCACCCTCGAACGCAGCTCTTCGTGCCCTTCTTTTCGTGAACGGATACCAATATGGACGATTTAGTCCCTGGATTGGAAACCAGGTTGAATTCCCTGTACCACCTGGAATCTTAAATTATGATGGGGATAATGTTATTGGTTTGAGTGTTTGGAGACAAGAAGAAGGTGGTGAGAGTATGGGTGTTGATGTTGGATGGAAGGTCACGGGGGCTTTTGCAAGTAGTTTTGAGCCCATCTTTGATGCAACATACTTGCAGCCGGGATGGACTGAGGAGAGATTACAGTATGCTTGATGGCTGCATTGTTGTAATAATGATTTGATGTATTATGGAGGAACACGTTTATTGTACGATTGAAATTTATGTCGATATCACAAAAGTCATTTGTGGCACTCTTGATTTATGTCCTTGTCGTTTCAGAAAGTACAGTGCTTGCCTTATTGAATTTTTCGCGTTTTTATTTCGTGGCATTTGCTATCACTAACTAACGTCCTTAGCATCTCCAAGGGGCGTGTACAAGTTGTATTAGTGGAATATATTACGACTTTTAGACTCGCATTTTACATTTCAAGATAAGATCAATTATGCAACTCAAGGTCTATTACGATTATGCTAATATTATTCATCCATTAAAAGCCCTCTAGAGATAACCATTATGTCTGCGAACCCTGCCATCATAGCAGCAGTATCGTCTGCTCCACATTCCCAATGCCAAGCAGTGTTCTATTACCGTCAACGACTCGCTTTAACCTTGCTAATAAAATTCATCACCCATGCCCGCTCCTCCATCGATTCCATCCCCAGCTCATCTTCTTCGAACATCCATTCATGATCCAAACCATTGGGCATGATGACTCTCACTTCCGGATCTTTGATCTCCACATTCGCAGTCCTCGCCAACCCATGACTCTCGAATTCCACCCCATCCATATCGTCAATCTCCTCAACGTTCTTCTCAAAACACTCTCTGATCAACGCTTTACACTTTTTAACATCTTTCTCCGTCCTCAACCCCATCGCTCCCCCCTCCAAAACAATCTCCGACAAATGTCGAAACCTGATCTCCGCCCTTGGCGCCCGTTGAATGCGATTCCAATCCCATACTCGCGCTGGAATATGCAAAGAGTGCAGAATATCCATATGTGCACAATCGAACACTTCTCTCTTTCGATACGCAACCTCTTTCCTACCCGATTCATAGAATCCAAAAATAGCACTACTCAGAGCAGATGTGTGATCCATGGAAATACCATTCAATACCACGCTATCAACACTGGGATCAAAGAATGGATAGTGAATCCTCTCCTTGTTCTCGTGTTGCGTGCCCAGGATGTAAAAGCGTGGATGAGCAGAGTAGTGGTGTATTGTTGCGGAGCGTGATTCCCGATTAATGCGCAAGGTGATGGGGCTGGGTGAGCGACTATAGATGAGATCGTTGGAGATGGTGATGCAGATGGTGCGGGAACGTGCGTAGCTCCAGATCAGATGGCGGATCTTCTCGGGGAGACTTTGGAGGGAGCGGGCGGGGGTGATGTGGTTGTGGGGAGCTAGAGTAGGAGAGTTAAGGATGTAGGTTAATGAGTAGCGGGGATCCTGGGGCTGTTGGGATGCAGAGGTAGCAGAAGGAGGAGATGGAATAGGTGGGGCAAGAACGACGGGTTTGTTGGATTTGCTTGGGCCGTTTTTGCGGGGGCGCTTTGCTCGTTGTGTTCGAGATGGAGGAGCCATGGTGCTTGAGTTGTAAGGTGAGCCGTACTGATGTGGATTAGGGATGAGTGATGAGAGATATGATCGCGTACGAGGATTATTTGGTAAAGGTGGGGAAGTACTTGGAACGACGGGAGGAGATGGCTCAGCCGTGGATTTGTACCGTCGTAAACCGGGATAAGCAGGTGTCGCATAAGGTGAGATATATCCGCGTGTAGTTTGTGATCGAACCCATTTATGCGCGAAGTATTTATAGGAGGGTGCAGGTTTATCTTTCATTTCTTAAGAAAAAGAAAATTGGTTAGAGGGGAAAGAATTTTTTTTTCTTGTTGTGGGAGGGATACTTACTTTCTTCATTTGAAGCTCGGACAAATATATATCGAAAAGATCAAAAAGTTGACAACTTTGTAGTAAAGGAATCCTTTACTTTCAGTTATTTTCAGTTCGGATCAAGATATCTTTGGAACAGATTCTGTCTTGAATACTCTCCAATACGAATTTCAAGAGTAAGGACAGAATAAAGAGAACTCCGAGTTTACAATTTCAGAATATCGCAGTGCGAAGTTCTGCTAGCGAAAATGCGGTTACCGAGAAAATTGTAAATTGGTAAAATAGTGAATGTTTGTGGTTATCGAAAGGCGAAGAAGATTAATGCGATAGGGTTTGCGCTTGCCTTCAAATCTTCTTTGGGCGCAGAGGTGAATGTCATACTTATGTACGTGTACCGCAGCTGGTATGAAGAAGATGATATTTGGAGTTGGAGTTGAGTTGGAATTCTATTTTTGTGGCCCTCCATGGAAGAAAAGCGCACAGGAACTTGAAATATTTGTTCATGTTGCGTGCTCCCACTATCTCAGTGAAGCTCATTATCTGAGTCTGATTCCACTACTAGGTAGTGTCCCCGTTCCACTTCTATCAACTGAAATTGACCGGGCCCAGGAGGTCAAGAGATCAACGAAACGGAAACCCGCGGTAGCGGGCTTTACATCATACATACTAAACCACAAGTTGTTCCTCCTCAATAATCAGCAGACATACATCATACCCTCTCCTCTTCTCTTAACAAATTCTCCCAAGCCATCAATTTGAACCGCTCCAGCCAGCCTCGGTAGGTAGTTCCCGCCGCAAATTTTGCTTTGGGATTCACTTCCCTACCCATACATAATGGCCGTACTAAATCCATCATCATATGCTGAAGTTCAACTCTCCAATCATCTCGCTTGTAGGTGAATGTGGCTGCAGCAAACTGGCATTTTCTCCGCAGGGTCATGCATGGTGCGAAGGAAGTGAATAAAACCATCTCGGTTGAGAAGTGAAGAGAGAGAGAGATTTTTTTGTTGTCGGCAAAGGAAGAAACATGGCAGTGAGGTTTTGTTGCTTATGTTTGACAGAATATGAACTCCTTTACTGGGAAAAGACATTCTAATTTTTACATCAGCAGAGCAGATTTCATCTCTCTATGCGAGATTTGAACAAAATAACTGAGCATGTAAGTTCATGGAAAAAGATATCATTAACTATTACCATTACCACGACTAACAAACATAAAGGTATCCTTGCAAAAGTTTTGGAAATATCGAACATCCATAGCCCAATATAGCATGCAGCAGCTACCCCATCCAAAGCCTTTTGCTGATTATTCACCAACAGATAGCCAACTTAAAAAGCAACCATACTAGTCAATCCATCCAACTCTCTTTGGAAGTTCCTGTGTTGCGAGATATTATACGTATACGCATCCAAGAAATTCTTAGCTCCCTTCACCATATTCAATCCTTCCTCGGTTTTGCTCAATCCTTGCGCAGTCACAACACCATACGAGTCGACTACTTCACTGGAGGTGCTGAAAGTCATACCATCCACTGCACATGCAACTTGTACGAGATTAACTCCCTCGCCAGTAGCTCCGATGGCTTTGCAGTGACCGAAGGCCTCGCGAACCCAGTGAATCACTCGTCCTTGTTTCAGTAAGGTAGAGACATGTTCGCCACCAGGAATATAGATCGAGTCGAACATGGTACTTCTCATACCTTCGAAATGATGATCTGCGCTTACGCTCTTGCCACCGGAACTCTTGATTGGTTGTCTCTTGGGACCGATGGTGAATGGAAGAGCGCCGGCTGCAGTCAATGCTCCCTTCACTGCTTCGTATTCGAGGAAGTTGAACCCATCTGCAATGATGATTGCGACCATACGAGAAGCAATGGTAGCTGGTAAGCCCAGAGCTTCGGGAGTGAAATCGAATTGTGATAGACCCTTGGCCTTCTTGCCATGATTTGGGCGTCCGGCTTGAGTGGGTGTAGGGGCACCAGCTTTCTCAGCTACAGCTTGTGCGAGGCCGAGGTCGATATCAGTCAGTCGCTCAACCATGCGCTCATACACAACGGGGTCGTCACAATGATCAAGTTCAAACCCTAGAGCATTGATGATGTGTGATTTTTCAACTTCAGACATTGAGTTCCAGAACAGCTGAGCTTGGGAGAAATGTTCCTTGAACTTTGTGGAGTTGAGTCGTTGTTTCATTGCTACAACCTTGTCGGGATATTCATAATAGGCACCCTCTGATTGCTTGGATGGAGGAACGACACTTTCTCTGTTGGGCCAGTAGTTGATCTTGCCTTTTGTGATTCGGTGTCGCATTTGACCATCTCGGTGGTTGTTCATAACAGGGCATACCGGTCGGTTGACAGGAAGTTCTTGCCAGTTAACACCAAGTCTTGAGAGTTGAGTGTCGAAGTAAGAGAAGTTGCGGCCTTGAAGTAGTGGATCGTCACTGAAACCGATGCCAGGAACAAGATGAGCAGTGCAAAAAGCAACTTGTTCAGTTTGTGTGAAATATTCATCGACATTCTTGTTGAGCTCTAATTCACCGATGTATCGGACTGGGAGAATGTCTTCAGGCCAAACCTTTGTGGCGTCTAGGATATCGAAGTCGAATTCATCTTGGCGACTTTCGTCACAGACTTGAATACCAAACTTCCATTTGGGATAACATCCACTTTCAATAGCAGTCCAAAGATCTTTGCGATGGAAATCGGGGTCTTGGCCAGCAATCTTTAATGCTTCATCCCAAACCAGTGAATGAACACCTAGAGTTGGAGTGAAATGAAATTTAACGAATGATCGTTTGCCTTCGGCGTTTATTAAAGTATATGTGTTCACTCCGAAACCTTGCATCATACGGTAAGATCTTGGAATGCCTCGATCTGACATGGCCCACATGAACATATGGGTTGCCTCTGTGTGTAAGAATTGGAAATCCCAAAAGTTATTGTGTGCAGACTGTGCTTGAGGGATCTCATTGTCCGGCTCAGGCTCTATGCAAGGTTAGCAACCATGAATGTATGTTTGAGAGAACAGCACTCACTTCCGGCATGGATGACATCGGGAAACTTAATGGCGTCTTGAATGAAGAAAACGGGAATGTCGTTTCCAACAACATCCCAGTTGCCCTCTTCGGTATAGAACTTCACGGCAAAACCTCGCACATCTCTAACAGTATCGGCACTGCCACGAGAGCCTAAGACTGTCGAAAAGCGAATGAAAACAGGTGTGGTGCGCGAAGTATCCGTGAGAACTCCAGCGTTTGTAACATCCTATGCCTGGGATTAGCTTTCATTGTTTGGCGTCAAGTGGAACATTGAGAAACATACATCGGCGCTCTCGTAGAGTTTGAAGGTACCAAAAGCTCCAGCTCCACGTGCATGAACAACTCTCTCTGGTATACGCTCATGATCGAACTTCATAATTTTCTCTCTACCAAAGTTGTCTTCTAACAATAAGGGACCTTGACGATCGCCAGTTGACGCAGATAGCCAATTGTCATGATTACCGTGTTTGACGCCAAAGTCACTGGTAAGAGGCTCCTTTGTATTTGGTTCTCTCATCTCAGGCAGCATATCTGCCGTCTTCTTGTCGGACATGGCGGAAGATACTGCTGCTCCTGCTTTCTGTACTGTTGCTCCAATAACGGATTGCATTATTATGGTAAAAGTTGAATTATCGTGAATTGAACATCCAAATAAGGGTTGAAGACGAAGAAAAGGAAGAGAGATGGACAAATAAATAGACAATGGGATTTTGGGTAAAATCCCGTATTCTAGTCAAGCATATTACATCATGGGATGACGCAGCTTTGCGGCGATAAGAGCATTGTGGGACACGTTCTCCGCAAAATCTTTTGTTCTCTTCTCTCTATAATGCTCACGAAACAGCGAATACAATGCTGGAATATTTGAAAAACAACCATGTCTCCATTGTCCCATTTTGGCTGGGACATTGGGAAGGAGCGTGTGCTCCGTCCAAATTGGTGAATAAGTGGACGTGATAATCAGGGTTGATGTCATGAATGGGTAAGCATGTGATATTAGTCAGCTTTTCAGCCAATCATAAGAGCTCTACGCAGGATATGGAAATCTGAGATCCACCATGTCTAAAGATCGATTATTCCCTACGATTCATCGTTTCCTGGCACCAATCAACAACGTTCAATTCATAACTCCGATTGAATCTTTGTGCTGCTTTGCAGTGCTCTGCAGGATTGGTTCCAACTTTCAAGTCTCTGATTAAAACCATTCTTTCGGCACTTGAACTGTATGAGAGTGGGATGACAGAACGGATACGAAAAAAAGCAAGGCGAGAATATCGTCGTCAAATATGATGTACTAAAAAGCTTTGCGTAACGGGTAACATTCTTCCTCGTTGGACATGAAATACCGAGACAGTCGAAAGAATCCTCAGTTAAAGTTTTCTTTCTGCACATTGGATGTAATGGAGGTAATCTGCATGGCTCGTCGTAGGCTTCTTCCTAATCCAAGAACAAAACCTCGAGTAAAGTCATTTCAGCACGCAAGCTTGCTCTGGGATGTCATTCAAATAAGTTAAGCAAGAGATTTTCCTTTCACCCGCAAAGATCATTGCTGGGACTGATATTAAGATCTATTAAAAGCGCTGAAAGTATATCAGAAGATGACTATGACGGCGCTGATAAGGATGAGGTTAGCAAGAGACGAGGCGAGTTTCTACAAAGTTCTAGACAACACGAAACGCGTCAGCACGTGCTTTGATCACGTGTACTGACAATATTGTTTCGAGATTGAAGAAGAGATTTTGAAGGTTTGTGGACTCTGAGTGTGCAGTCAAAAACTATAATTATTACTGTCTGGGTAGTCAGAAATTGCGGAGAGAATCATATCCCCAATCAACCATAAAAGCCAGCCCAGATTACTGATCGTCCATGGCAATCACGAATTTCTTTCCATCAAATTTTGCAACCTCCTGATATGCTCCAACCGCATCTGTAACTTTGATTTTGGTCAAACACTCTTCATCGGGGCCCTTGATTTCTCCATCTTCAAACATTCTTCCTAACCTAGCCATGAGGTCCTTTGTCTCAGCTAAGGTGAGGCTCCAGCTATTGACTCCATGCAAGCTTTGATCCATCGCTAGCATCTTCATGACATTGATTTTGACTTCTGGCCCACCGCCTCTCATGCCGGATACGAAAACATATCGTCCGGAATTTTCCAGAATGGCAAGTCCCTTCTCCATCAAAACAGGAGATCCTGCACAGTCAAGAATAATAGTAGGCCCTCGTCCATTGTTCAACTCCAACACGTTCTTCAAGTTCTCATCCGATGCAACATTCACATCAGCACTATCTACCCTAGATGCAGTGATGGTCTTGAGCCCTTTAGCATTCGCAAGTTCTATTGCAGCCTTTCCGACCGCTCCTCTGGCGCCAAAAATCAGGACCACATCTCCAGAACGTGCAGCAGCTTTCTCCAGCATTAGATAAGCAGTCGAGTATGGGACACCCACAGCCGATGCCTGAGTGCAACTGAGACATTTGGGCTTGAGAGTCAAGCCTTCTACAGGTACTGCGATATATTCGGTATGAGTTTCATCAATGGAGAGACTCAATTCTCGACCAGAACTTCCGTACACCTCAGTGCCCTCAAGTTGGGGGTCAGATGGGGCTTGGATGACTGTACCAGCGAAATCGCGACCTGGAACTATTGGTTTCTTTCCACCGAATCGATCAAGAATTGCGTTAGCAACGTCGGAAGAGTTGATTCCTGCTGCGTGGACGCGAATCAAAGCCGTGTTGGAACCCGAGGGAATAGTTGGGACAGACAAAGATTTGAAAGTAATTTAGAGCTGTGCTGTTGTTGAAGGCCGGGAGGCGTAGATAGCTTGCATTGTTTTTGGAAGACTCATGATGAATTTGTTTTCTCTGGACTGAATGCAGAATCTGGGAACGCTATCATGGGGCTTGGGATTATATTTATGTATCCGAGAGCGAACGGTAACCAAGTAACAGTTGGAAGCATTTGGAACTAGGTAAGATATTTGGCAACATTACTTATTATCCAAAGGTCTGTGGAATCTTACCTCTGTTTATGGCTTTTCCCGGGCTATATGCTGCTCACAGACAAAGTACATAAATCGAGAATGCTGTGGGGTCTCCACGGGTATCACCTGGGCAGTTTTGTTGGTTTGCTTAGCTGATTGTAGGTAAGCACTTACATGTTCCAACAAGATAGCCTCGTTGATTTAGAGAGCTATTTGGAGAGGCATAGATGGTATTCTGGGTATTCCAAATTTTATTAATGATTTGAATGATTTGAATGATTTGAGTAAGACTGAAATACAAATGGATTTATGCAACTTAAACATGATCAAGATTGGAATATCAATATCAGGCAAGAATTAAAGATTAGAATGTTAAAAATGCTATTGTATATCAAAATGATCAATTGGGATCCTAGTAGAGACGTGGATACATGAAACATTCCTATTCTATTTGATTTTCAAATTTTAACATCAAATATGTCCCATCCAATCAAAGACTTGCAGCAATAATGCTTAGACTGAAAGCATGCGTATAAGTAACAATTCTTCTTACTTTCAATCCCACACCATCTAAAAGACTTTTCCACTGCGCTTCCGTTCGCTCCATCGAGCCGAACGCTGCCAGCATAGTCAAATCTGTTTGAGTAGCAAACCAGTCCACATTATAATTTGGCAACACAATTTCATCGAGTAAGATCAAGGAATCCTTTTCCATGACTTGCATGATATTCTTCAGAATGAGGATCGCTTTATCGTCGAGATGGTCGTGGAGGATAGCACGCAGATAATAGAATTTCGCACCTAGATGTATGTGTTAGTTGTTTTCTGGACTGTGCGTGTTTATTACACACCTTTTATGACCTGCGGAGTGTAGAAATCATGGACCATGGCCTCGACTCCATCGGGTAGATCTTGGGAGACGGCATGCTCGATTTCTCCGGGTAGATCCTGGAATATAACGCGACCTTTGATATCAGGGAATCTTTTTCGGAACTCAATACATTGTTGACCCGAGGCTCCTCCTATATCGACAAAGAGTGGTTTCTCCGCAGGCCAGTTTTTGCATTCCTCTTCGATCGGGAAGAAGTTAAAGGCGTTGGGTGTGCTGGATCGCTGTGCGATCATAAAGCGATTAAATTGTGCTGTTTCCTTGGGCCGCGATTGGAACCATGACCATAAAGGCGAATCTGTATTCCAAGCTTTCTGGAACGCCGCTTTATGTGTCTCTGTGGGAGTTTGGTACTTTGTAGAAGCGAGAAAGTCTGGAAGAACCTGGTAGGCGGGACCGAGGACATCGTAACTGCAGCGGTGGATATAATGTCAGAAAGTATGGTAAAAATTGATGGAAGCAATTCCTCATACTTGTGGTAGAGACCGGCTTGTATTTCAGCGATGGAGAGATTTTTGCTGGTTTGGCTCGAAGCAAATCGATCCTCTCCTGTTTCTTTGATCATCCCTAACGATGACAGCATGCGGAGTATTCTCCCTATAAGAATATTAACACATGATAACCATTTTTTTGTAGCTCTATCTAGCGCTCTATTTATACAACTAACTGAGAAGCGCTGGGTCAGCACCAGTTCTGGTGGCCAAGTCTTGTAGGCATAGAGGGCCATCTAAATCACCAAGAATATTGAAAAGTTTAAGATCAACGGCGGTTCTAGTGATAGCAATGACGAGGTGCTAGAGAAGCGCAACCAACAGTTTCAGAAAGTGGCTTTTGCACAAATGTTGGAGAGCTCATATCTTACTAGATGGATGACTCTCTGCATTGTATCTTCTGGCTTCTCGATAGAATATTGCAGATCTCTCAGTGAATTCAACAGCTCTTTGCGGCCAGCTTCACCCGCAGTAGCTGCAGCATTTCGTATTTCTTTTGCGAGAGTCTTGATTGCCTCCATGGTCGAATAAATTTTCGAAGGTGAATTAAAAATCTTGAATAGATTGAATAGCTACCACAGGAACAAGAACAAGTTAACTTCTGTTTTACGCTAATGGTATGATGGATGCTTTGAGACTTGTAGGAAATGAGTCGTGAAACTTATGAACAACTAGTTCTTACAGGTTACTGCAAACGAAGCCCCATTTGGAAAAACACTCTGAGGACATTGAATACCCTGGCAACTGAGCCGCTGACCTGCATGATAGACTTTGCTTACAGTTGGTGACCTTTTGTTGGCTTACCGTTGCATTTACAACCCAATCATAGCCCACGGAATTTAGCCATATAAATTTAGAGATTACTATGCGAATGAAAACTAAGCTAATACCACTACAGGCGTGAAGATTAAAATTAGATTTCATTCTCGAATTTGTGGCTCAATCGATGATGGCAGACTATCGCTATGATTTTCGTTCCGGGATTCGAAAAATTGGGAAACTCTTGACTGTCATTCTCCCGTCCCTCTTCTCTCCGCATATTGAGTTAAGATCTTGGTCGTAAGGGGTTCAAAGTCTCTAAAATTATTCTGCACTGGCTTAATGTCGCCCAAGAGACAAACGGTAGCTCAAAATTTGTCTCATATCATAACCTTTCGATACTGCCTTTCGGAGGTATATTTCGCATACCACCGAGAACATCTAGCTTCTTGATAAACAGCAAAGAAGGCAATCTAGTTTATGCCTCTCTCATTCTCCCACTTATGCCAAGTGCGCTTCCAAAATTGATCGTCTTAACAGAGCGATACAAAACAACTCGACAAACCACAGCTTTCAGTCACTTAACCAAGAGTCAGATGCAAAGCTTGCACAATCAAGAACTTCAAAATAGTAGGAGTTACCAAGGCAGCTAGAATAGTACTATTTTGGAGCAATAACTGGAACCTGCGGGAGTTCTCAACAGTGAGGAGGTTAGATTCTGCGTTGAAAATCATGTTCCCAGAAGAAAGACAAATCTCATCGACATAATAAAAGCTATCTTCACCAAATACCTGACCACGTGTAATTGATATTTTCTCGCCACAAGTATACATTAACGCTAACGCCTTGTCGTAATTGCGTTCAACGTGCTGTCATCACATTCGGATTGAAAACAAGATGCCCAGAGCGATCACCTCCGAAGTATAAGGGACGATCTAAGCAACTATTCTACTGAGATCACTCTGTAATCTCGGGCTGGCTAGAAGATAATACAGGCAACATATTTCTGTGTCTGATCAAATTTGTACGGCGCAGCATGGAGAAGCGAAAAGAGTCTTTCGGTGACGAAACAGCATAGCAGGAACATACTTTAGCAAGAGTCCTGCGAGCCTTGAGACTGCTATGGACTATTCCGTTTGGATCGAAAATGAAAAGAAAACAAATGAGGTCTGTTGAAAGAACTGACCGCAGTTTGGCTCATTGATAAACAGATCACGTGTTGGTCCACTATCTGTTTTAATCATGATGTGAGGGTTACCAACCACGTGCTAGTCTGACGGCTGAGTCATCAGATTTCAACAGTAGCAATTTCATGTAACATGGCAATATTCGAGGATAACAATGGCAACCCCAGTATCAAGAGGCCTTAGAGCCCATAGAAAGTCTCGACAAGGGTGCATGGCATGTAAAGCACGGAAGGTGAAGGTAAAATCGAATCAATGATTTACTTGCAACAGACGTTAAATAGGTTGCTGATCAAATCCGAAGTGCAACGAAGCACGCCCGGCATGTGATGCGTGCGTCCGCCGAGAAATATCATGTCACTATCCTGAGCCAGCTCAAAAACGACCGACAGATACAAGGTCCCCTTCCAATCCGCCTTATGACCTTGATCCTTCCAAAGAACTCGATATTACAGTGGCCCGTGAATCAAAAGAACGTCGATTGCTTGAAATGCGCCTGCTTCACCACTTTTGTACCGAGACCGCCCGAAAAGGATTCCTGTCCATTCACGATGAAGGTGTTCGTGATGTTTGGACTAAAGGTGCTCCGACTCTAGCTTTTGATCATCCAGTTCTCTTGAATATGATCATATCAATTGCAGCTCTCCATCTCACTAAGATCAATCCAGCGGCTGAAGATATGGCAGATGTTCATCGGATGTATTTCAATGCAGCTGTTCGTGAGCATCGTCAAGTCATCAAAATATCAATAAGGATAATGTTGAAGCTGTGTGCCTCTCTACAATTCTGATTGGGTTGCCCGCGTTCATCCTCCTGCAAAACAATAATATTGGCCATTACACAGTTCCAACTCAGGTATTCGCTCTTCTCCGTGGAAATTTTGTTCTGTTTTCGCAAACAATGCCCATGCTAGATCCAAATAGTCAACTAGAAGCTCTTATATCTGCCAAACCAGACATGAAGACGTTAATGGAAGATGTTCGTAGCAAAATATATCACGAACCATTCTCAGAGCTTCTAAATCGGAGGGCGCCGGGTGAGATTATTGATGAAGAAAGCCAGGCTGCTTTTACTTTTGCATTAAATTATTGTGGATGCATTCTATTTGGTATTGAAGGTGGGGAGGATCTTTATGAACTTCGCCGTGTCATTTATGCCTTTTCGACAGTCGCACTTAAAGCATTTGTTTAGCAATTGAATGAGAACAACAACCGTGCACTTGTTATTTTGGCTCACTTTTTTGCACTTTGCAAGGCTGCCGACAATTTCTGGTGGATGAGAGGGATTACGGAAAGAGAGGTGTTTGGCATACAATCCATTCTCCCTGAAAAATGGCAATGGGCAATGGTATGGCCTTTGCAAAAGCTTGCAGCATACGCTGCCATCAATATGACAACTGAAACTGAATAGGCAGGTGTTGATATATCGCATTTGCGCATTTTTGTCTATTACAGACGCAAAAGCTACTCACGGAACTCAAAATTAATCTCAATTTCCGCTGAGAATCTCACCGACCCGCTGCTGCCCAAATTTGTTTCCCGAATGCTACAGCTCAGGCAGTTTGCGTATATGCCCTACATGTCAGATAGTCTTCGCTGAATCATCGCTGAAGAGCGCGAAATCTCAACGGAATTCCTATTCCAGAGGGGTGACAGTCTGAAGTGCCTCCTGGTTGACACTCCGATGATTGGATCTGCTCTACAGAGAGGGACAGGACTGAAAATGCGAACGACTAACCGAATAACAACTCTAAAATTAACCTTCCCATTTGCTGCCGGTTTGAAAACAGCATTCCATCTATTTTCTTCGGGTTGCCGGAAGTGTGTAGTTCAGAGACCTACAACGATGTGAATGCTAGTCGTTCTTTCTAAATCGAAATCGACTGTTGATCTAATATGAGTTCAGCATCGAACTGTGTGTCAATATTTAGCATCGATGTATTATCATCTCAGGAACTTACCACGATGGTACCGGCAGCAAATCAACTTTATCAATGCGCATGAATCAGATTTTGACAAATGCGAAGAATTATTGGACTTTTTTTATACTTCACCTGTACTGCTTTTAGGTGTTCTGAGAGCACACGATTACTCTCTCTGTTGATTTTCGGAACACACCTGTTGTCTCCCAACCAAAAAGAATCTGACTTATCACTAACATTCATGCACTATGGTCCCTACATTGCTTTCTTCGCAGCTACATACGACTTGTTTCTTTTACATCTTTGAAACATCGACTTTTCGGAACTGATTCAAAATATTACATCTTATCCGTGAATTCAATAAAAATTATCTGCTTGTGGATTCAGTATTGCTTCCTATGCTGGGAATTTTATGATAATAAAAATCATCACCAGTGTGCAAGAATCTACTGTAAGATCTCATACGAGAATAGAAGATGGTCATGTCTTTCATTAAAAATTTCATTTACATAATTAAGTTTGCTCTAGCCAGGCAAGTAAGAGGACGCCTGCCAATCATTCTGAGTAAACATGATTCCATGTTTTACCGCTTCCATTATCTTGTAAAAAGGAGTTGAATCCGATTGATTGAGCACATAATCCCGGGGTGTCCGATAGTCCGGATTGCAGCCCAGCAACATTAGGTTTCGAATACCTAAAAGCGATTAAAAGCTTGAAAATGGTCCAATATTCCAATCAAGTTCGATATCTTGACTAGTTTGAATGTTTTAGTTGATTTTGGGGGATTTGATAATCTTTATTTTGGACTGCAGTTCGGATTATTGGACACCCTGTATAAGCCACCCAGCAAGAAAAAGTCATCTTCCCCTGAGTCTCCGACAAACAGTCCTAGATGCCCGGCAATTCAGCTCTCTCACGGCCACCAATCTCAGCTATCACATGACTCGTGTTTCCAATGAAGGGTTGCTTTGGCGGATCATAGTAAGATGGAGGCTCCGTTGGAGGCTCCGTAGAGGAACGTTTAGCATGGCGTTTCCGCCTGAAAAAAAGAAATGCCAGCCCAGCAACCGAGAAAGCTACAACCACAGCACCCACGGCAATACCGGCTTTTGCCCCTCCGCTCAAACCACTGTTTTCAGCGATGGATATGGGTGCGGGTGTCGCTGATGTAGTCGAGATTATTGATGGTGTCACCGAAGCGCTGGTGGTAGCTGTGCTAGATGCCGACGAAGATGTCTGGGTCGAGCGTATTGGAGTAGCAGATGCTGTCGAAGTTGATGAGGAGGATGAAGAGGCTCCATTAATGACTAAGAATCCGGTACTTGATATTTCTTGGGAGCTTGAATTATATACTGAATTGAGATTCTTGAATCGGAGGACATATTTTGCATCTTTACTCAAAACGCTCGTCGGTATTGCGATGGTCCAGTCATACGTGCCACTTCTATTGGTATTTATATTCTCTGGAAAATTGCGGGACAATGAATCAGTAAGACGAACAGATTGTGCATTGAGTTTGGGAAGTTACTACGGCTGTTCTTACCTGTGAGCAGCTGGCTGAATTGTGTTATCTGATAATCCCAGGTCGTAACCCACAGATTGGATAGAGTTTGAAATTGATAACCCTCTGGAGCTGGGTTCCAAGTAACCTGAAGGGTTATACCCTCGGTATATGTCTTAGAAAGGTCGGCAGTGTTACCATCCGGCACAATCCATACGGTGGAAGAGACATATGTTTGGGCATATATAGGAAGAGCATAGATAACGAAGATGCCGAGAAGAAGACTGAGGATGGAGCGTCGCATTGCAGTTCGTCTGCCGAGAAGTAATAGATGACTTGATCTCAACTATGAATATCCGTCGTCATCAAAAAATCCTAACAATAGGGATCAAAAACTTGTGTACGGAGGATCAAAGAGCTGCGTGAGTAATATGCCACTTGAGTATCCATCTCGCAACTTTTTGTAATCCTCATAACTATTCACCATAGTCAGAGCCATTTCAATTGAGGATAAGAATGTCTCACTTGAGAGGTCCTTGTTGCTCATGCTTCTCTATACTGGTCGTTTTCCTGGTACCAACATGTTGGTAAAATTTCGAAGCTCAACATGTATGGTCAGTGAATACGGTTATCCGGTATCACTCACTTGGCCCATGATAGCTGATTGGATAACGAATGAATTGGAAATTAATTCGCGAGGCACTCAACGATTGGCCAATTAATATCTTTCATTTGATCCAGGGGGGAGGGGAGGGGCAGGGTATTTTTGAGGGCGCTTACGGAGTAGAGAATGAAACCCCACCCCTGAAATAGAAAAATAGAATCCTCATTTAACCTGTAACTTTATTTTTCCAGATTTGGGTGAAGACTGGCGCTTTTAATATTCTACACGTTCTTTACATTTCACTCTTTACTAACGTTGTGTTTCTTCAATTCCATTCCAAATTAAAATAATCTTTTGCGGAAGTGCAGTTCCACCAACAGTTATGGCCTTCAGATGGAAGGTATTGACCCTCATTGTTGCGATTTTTCTTCTCCTTCTTATCTACCACAAACCCGCCCTTAGACGCTATCAAGAATCATACGACAGGACTCAGTTGATAGTTCAGTCGGCTTCAGATGGAAAAGGAAACAAATTTAGATGGTCCGAGGTCAAACATAGCTTTCCTGTTACCGATTTTATACCTCTTCCAACGAACCCGGCAACGTCCATACCGAGAATCCAACATCGCTTTGGTAAAGAAACTCAAGCCGAAAAGTCAATCCGGCAAGCTAGGCTTGAGGCCGTCAAAGGCAATTTTACACACGCGTGGAATGGCTATACTAGCCATGCATGGTTGAAAGATGAGGTAATGCCTATGTCCGGTGGATCAATGGATCCTTTCGGGGGATGGGCCGCGAGCTTGGTCGATACTCTCGGTCAGTACACACCATCCAGGATTTTATGTCAGTATAATAATTCTTTTTCTAGATACCCTTTGGATCATGGGCATGTATTCGGAATTCAAAGTAGCCGTCGAGGCTATTCAAGAAATTGATTTCAGTACATGCGCTCTTGAGCAAATTAACGTCTTTGAAACTACTATTCGGTACTTGGGTGGTTTTCTCTCCGCTTATGAGTTAAGTGATGGAAAGTATCCAGTTTTACTCCAGAAAGCGACAGAAATGGGAGAGATGCTGTACAAATCTTTTGATACGCCCAATCATTTACCCATTCTTCGATGGTATTACCATGTCGCTGCCACTGGTGCTGCGCAGGAAGCCGAGGACAATGTTCTAGAATCTGAGATTGGTTCATTGACTCTAGAGTTCACACGTCTTGGCCAGATTACAGGTGATCCCCGATACTATGATGCTGTGCAGCGTATCATGAATATCTTCGACGACCAGCAACCTATTTCCAAATTACCTGGAATGTGGCCGGTGGTTGTGAACGCAAAAGACAAGAACTTTGTGGAATATGGAGGTTTCACTATTGGTGGCATGGCTGACTCGTTGTATGAATATTTGCCAAAGGTAAGTTTTCATCATCTTCGAAAAATCACAATGCTAATGTTCAAAAGCAACATCTGCTACTTGGTGGTACTACTCAGCAATATAGGAGGATGTATGAGTTTGCATTGATTGCAATGAAACGCAACATATTCTTCCGCCCGATGACGAAGAATGGTGAGGATGTTCGCTTGCCCGGTAACGTGGACAGTGATGGAAAGACATTGGTCACGGAACTCAAAACTGATGGAGAGGCACAACATCTGGGCTGCTTTGCAGGAGGAATGGTTGCCATTGGTGCAAAGATATTCGAAAATGATCAGGACCTAGAATTGGCAAGAAAGCTCACGGATGGATGTCTCTGGGCTTATGAAAATATGCCACTTGGGATCATGCCTGAAAAGATGCACACAGTTCCATGTGCGAACGAAGACTACTGCCCCTGGGACGAGCAGAAGTGGCTTGAAGGTATAGATAAAGACACTGAAGGCAACGAAACTGTACATGAAAAGATACAACAGCACCGACTGGTAGCAGGAGTCACCAAGTTTGATGACGGTCGCTATATTCTTAGGTAAGGCTCCTCATATTCTCATATTAATCACGTGGCTAACTTTTACAGGCCCGAGGCAATAGAGTCCGTTTTCATACTTTATCGTATTACTGGGGATCCTAAGTTGCGAGAACAAGCTTGGACAATGTTCAACAACATTATCAAACATACAATCACCGACATTGCACATGCTGCTCTTGACGATTGTACCGTTTCAGAGAATCCTCCCAAGGCCGATAGAATGGAATCGTTCTGGATGGCTGAAACGCTCAAATACTTTTATCTTATCTTTGCTGATCCAAATTTGATTAGCTTAGATGATTATGTCCTTAACACTGAGGCACATCCCTTAAAAAGGCCAAAATAGTGTTTGGGCCGAGTTACATTTGTTGCTATTAAACTTTTTTATCACTACATATTATCAGAATATCTTGTGATTTTCTGGGTCACGATTTCTTCAGAATTTCAAACTGGCTACTTGTCAATCTTTTTGCACTACCTTGATTGCTATCCTAATGATTGCATGATCACCTGCTACACTCGGGTTCCAGCCTCTCCTTGCTCGATGTCACCATGAATCTCAGACTCGATGCTGTAAATGAAGTATAAAACACTAAAAAGTTCTTTTAATAGGCTTTTACATTGTCCCCGTCTGAAATTACCAATTCCAAATTAGAAATCCAACATCTCTCTCCATTTACTAAAATGTATTAAAGACAAATTGGCAAGAACGAGGTCTTTCACCTCTACAGATGTACCAATTGCTAGGAACTCCTTCATGAAGAACTCGCGTAAGATATACTGCTTAGGAGTTGCATCATCCATCGAATCTAGTAGCCGATGAATTTCTTGTTTTATCTCCATCTCGTAGATGGCTCGGCCCTTATTGTGTGGGTACGGATACGTGAATACACCCTCCATGATTTCGGCCCAGCAATGGGAAAACAACTCATAGTTAAGATAATTATCCTTAAGATCTCTGTAATTTTTTTCATCATCGTAATATGGTCGGCGAAGAAACCGACCATAGTGTTCGTAACGAAATAAGAGCCCCAGTTCCATATCGTATCTCGCAGGCTTACATACGCGCGTCACTACTCTGTATATATAGTCTTTGGGTTTATATATTCTCAGCATTGGTGCGTACTTGATGAGTTTTGAATGGACTTTTTTGATCTTGTGAGCATCAAGATGATCAATATGAGGGGTAACACCGGTGTTACATAAACTGATTGGTCGCGGAAACACGTCTTTGAACATTGCATACATGCGAGGGCATGTGAATGCAATGAAAACGTCTGAGACATTGAGAGATCGCATGATTTTCAATAGAATCTCTACGGGCAACTTCTCCAGTGTTGAATCTATTCGTATATTGTTAGTTAGTGACCATCACTTACGCTCATCCACTCACCCGATTGTTTTGTAGCTCGTGATTTAGACGAAGAATGGAGTACATTCTTGATCTTTCTAAACTTCGAGCTAAAACGCTTTTCGCTCGATATTCGCGCGCCCATGATTTAATCACCAGTTGGTGTGAAGACTGACGGCAAACTGCAAGAATGGATTCGTGAATATCTCTTAGTATATCAAGATTTATATCTTAAGAATTCTCTCGATTGTTTATAAGGAATAAAACGATCGAAAATGGATTCTAATGTCAGATGATTGAAGAACGAATCTGTGAAAGTTTCGAAAGTTGACCCGTCAGTGCATGCACCCCTGATGAACTTAATCAGATCACGGAGTTGTGAGATTGCAAACTTCTTATATTTGAGTCGATGCGAAAGCGTTGAAGTACGAGATGTTGTTGCGAAGATTTCACTTGGAGTGGTTTTGATGGGTTCCGATTCTTATGGCTGAGATGATTTTGTATGAAGGAAGATCAAAGGGAAAGCAATAGAGTCCAGAGGTAACCTTTATGAGCAGATGTATTTATGTGTACGGCTCAATCGTATACATGATTCCCGAGTCAACTGTGAAAGTTATGTCTGGGAACCTACTACCGTATCCTCAGCTTATTCATTTAAGACTAGATTATTCTGTACCTTCATGGGGTGACCACAGTTACATTATAAGAGCCGTAGCGCGGATTTCTCATAAAAATTACTTTGAATGCAGGAGACCAAACTTCCAGTGGTGCAAGTTAAAGAGATATGATCTTGATTAATGTTTGGATCAATGAGATACATGTTCTTGAGCGGAGTCTTTTGTGAGTGGGATGGCATTTGGGTGAATTTAGACTATCTAGGAGGAAAGTTTTTGCATCAAAACGGATGCATCAACGAGACCTTGTCCTTGAATCCTAAAGAACTCTCGGATGAAGTAGTAGATCTCAGGATAAGATTATTTGCGGTCTTGGTAAAATACTAGGTTGAATTAATGATTATACTTGCTGTACCTAGGTATATTCATACGTCCTCGCCTGTCATATGAGTCCCAGCCTAACTAATATGCCATTAATCTGCTCGTAGTCTTTTCTGCTGTTGCCGCAACTGCTTTCTTCTCGCTTCAATAACTGATGAAACCTGTCCATACTCCTTATTGGCTACATTGATAGCTACTCTGACGATGTATATGAATATATGTTCTGGTTCTCTAATCTTGTACACATTCACAATTCTACCCATCTCAGCAATCCATGCTTTTCCACCCATATTAAGTGGAGAAGGATAGTTTGGAGGCTCATCATCTCCACGGAATTGTAGCCATCCTCTCTGAATGTGAACGTAGGCGCACCATGCCAGAAGCAACTGTCTTAGAGCATGACCTGAAGGATCGGCTTCTTCGCCATAAATATCACAGAGCAGAAACTTGCCAACATAGTATCCTGGTATGGCGCAGTACATCAAGAGGTCAGATGATCCGAGAGCTAGATCTCGAAAGTAGAAGTATTTTGGGATATCGCCACTTCCCATCCAGTCACCAAGTAGTTCATGAAGTCGGGCGGATGGTCGGAAGAGTGGGTGCTGAATGTCTTCTTTTGAGTCTTTATCCCATAGACGGTTTTCCAAAAGTAGGGCATCTGAGTGTGGGTACTGACGCTTGCACTCATCATATACTTTATGACAAGTAAGGCCAAATACTACGCCAAATGTTGGACCAAGATGCCCCATGACATTTGCAATGAGTTCGGCAGGTAAAACATCGACTATAGACTTCTTTTCGTGGTTTGAAATCTGCTGCGTAGATATGTCGATAGCTAGAGATAAGTTAGCATAGATTAATAAGGATTGGAAAACTGAGGAAAGAGACTTACCAGATATCTCAGAACTGAGCTTGGCATAATCTTCAAGTGAAGGTTCAGCGGAGCTGAGAAGTGCCATCGGTATCAAATTTTGATCTTTCTCTATCGGATGCATCATGGAAAGTTCCAATTCAAACTTGAGGGTGTTGATAAATTAGAGTTTTTCGTTGGTTCAGATTGTGAATTTTACAGGTTGATCAATGATGTGGATGTAGAGATTTGGATGAATGGTGTGAATTTTTTTCTATGGAGATGTGTTCGCATGCACTTTACAGGAAAATGAGCGTCGCAACACAGCTAGCCTTAGACTAAAATTTTAACCGTATAAAGTTGCGCTAGAAGAGCCGTAGAGTATTAGAATGCCGTACTTTACTAGTGCTCAGTGACGTAAAACTTTTGTTTAGCAACCTCACTTCACAAATCAACAGCATGGACAAGTCTATTGGAAGCCAATTTTCAAGTTGAACTTCTATATTATGGCTGGATATTGATGTAGAGTGTAAATGTCAAAGTTGCCTTATGGATGGGAGACCATACAACATTCATGGGATTCGAGTAGCCATGGAAAGGGTAGAGAAGAAGACTTACAGGATCTTCCCTCGTATGAAATATCTTCAAGTTGTCCATAGCTTATTTTGAGGTAAAGATCATCAGTTGGTAGATCGCCCAGAGCTTCCCGCCTAGGATATAACTAAGTTTCGATGCATGAGGAATCTTTTTATTTTTACAAGCTCTTCTAGAACCAAATCGTTTGGGCAATTCTAAGAAACTGAATTTTGTTCGAATACTAGAATGTCAGATGTTAATTTCATCAATTGAAGTTTTGAATAATTCTTAATTATAATATATAACCAATCATGATTTTGAATATAAAACTTTATGAATAAAGAAAATTCCACCTGTTAAATAGAGTTCAGTCTCTTAGTTTAGGATAAGAAGAAGGAATATTAATCTATGTTAGTTCAAGGCTAGCTTGAACTGAACGATTGTTATTATATAAATAAAAGAGATCCCCTAAGGATCTCTTTCCTCTATAGCTTTCTTATTCTAGTTATTTGACCTCTGTAATATAATCTAGTATGTGATCGTGATAATAGATCTAACAAGGATATATTTTATTACCTATTTATTATTGGTTATTAATCAGATTTAATTTTCTATTCGGACTAGTAAATTAATCTAATTCTCTTATAATCTATAAAATCAGGGATTAATCACTTTACTACTAATTCATAAAAGCATGAAGTGTTTTGAATGATCCCGGAACAGTAGTTGTAAGAGTTGAGGCCCCGGCTTATCGCACATTTAAGCGAGATTAGGGTAGCCACCTAATTTCGCATACCTTATTTCAAAAATTCAATTATTATTCTAAAATTCATTATTTTCAATTCAAATTCAAAATAGATATTGAATATAATCACAAAAATAATAATCATAAAGTTTATTAAAATTAATATATTCCTTAATATTCTAGAATTATTCAGATTAGAATTAATAAAAAATCCTAGGAATAGATTATTTCAAATTTAAATATATTATAACTTATTATAAAAAATATAATTAAATCTAATTTAATTAAAATAATTTAAAAAGAAAAGATTTATTAAAAGTTTATAATAACTATTAAAAAGATTTATCGAATTATAAGAATAATTATTAAAAATTAAAGCAAAAAAAGAATAATTTTTAAATAAATTAAAAATATATTTAATATTAAAGTTTTAATATATATAATTCAAAAGAAATTATATCAATATAGATATAGAAAATATATAATATATTCTAAATTCTGTATCTCAAGAATATAAGTAAAAAAGAGACTAGATTTTATATATAAATATTATTAATAAAGAACTAATAATAATATTATTATTAAACTAAAAGGAAGAAATTGAAGATTAATTATATAGTTAAATAAAAGTACTTTTGAATTAGGAAAAGTGGGTAGAATATAGATTATTAGATAAGTTGATAAAAAGAAATGCATTGGTTATATTAAATTAGTATATTGATTAGAAAGAGTATTAGTAATGATATGAGGTATAATTGACTGGAATTATAAATCTCTATTGATCTTTTTAGAAAAACTTAAAAGTAATAAAGGTATTATCTTCAAAGTATATATATAATAAGTTTTTGAATTTATTATATTTTTATTATTTGATCAGCTAAAATTTGAATATATATTTATAGAGGATGGTTTTAAAATGTATTTTAGATATACTTATAAAGCTCGATTAGAGTATAATATATAAAACTTTGATTGACTACTCTTCTCTTCGAATCTTAATTTAATTAAAAAAGTATAATAATAAATGAAAAGGGAATTAAAAAAGCTATTATTTATACCTACTTTTATAAAAAAATTAAAATATAAATTACAAGCTTTTTGAAATAAGATGAATTCTTTAGATTTCAAACTATATATTAAGAAATTAACTTACAAAATTAAAGATATAATTAAAATATAAGAATGAGTTATTATTTATTAAAATAATATTCAAGTTTTATAAGATTATATTATATAATTGATTTATTATTAAATTTTAAAAAATTAGATCGAAAAATGAGTGGTGTGCGATAAACCGGGGCCTCAACTCTTACTATAAGCCCTGTAAAGTGGTCGCTCCTTGGCATACAATATATATATATATATATTGGGATAAATTTCTGACTATCGAACATGCCATATTATCTTCCAGATATCACCATATACAGATTGTACAGAAATCTTTCTCATTATACCTCTCGCTTATAATCGCGTACAGTTTCGTAACCCCTTATATCTTCAAACACTGCCTGCCAATAAGCACAATTCTGAGTCAGAGTAAACCAAACGATCCTTCTCCTCTATTTCGAATTACCATTTTCGATCAAATCCTAAGAGCTTAAAATTTAATCGATCAATAACGGCTATTTGAAATATCCCTCTCTTGTATTCAATTCACCAAACTTTCCGAATGGACATTAATAACATGAAGAGAAATGTGGAAATAAGAGTGCCGACAATGAGGACAATACAGGGAACACTACCATGAACAAAAAGAAGGAGATATCTCGAATTGTCTCTCGAAGTGAGCATTTCCAATATGATAGATGCAAGAAATAACTCTTTCAGAAGCTAGCTTTCATCTGATAGATCTCCCCTTGACTCCCCTTGGATATCATCAACCTCATTACAGATTGCCTACCACCAGGCTCAACTGTTCTCCTTGGACTTACCTGTCATAGATTATATTCCCTATTTTCTAGACAAATCCTCGAGACTTCATTGGAAGCCCTAATTTGGAGTCTACCCACAGACTTCAAGAAATCTGATGCAACCCCCGAATTGGATGTTGAATTCCAACTCCACTATTTGTTGAAAGATTGGAGTGGATTAGCTGGGCACAAATACTTCAACACGGCTGATCTATATAGACTACAACACCTTTTTTCACTAGCAAGAAAAGATGAATTGGATGGACGATGACATCTTTTCGGTAATACGCGCTGCAGTGAGCATTATGACCATGGTAAAAGGTATAAAACGTCTCGAAGAAGAAATTGAATTTGGCGCTCTAACAAAGAGACAAAGAAAGATTCGAAACTCGATGAAATTAGCAGGTGGACTTTTGCTCAAATGTACTCAATCTGGTGGAAGGAAGGATCATCTTTGGTACCATTCATCAGAGGATGAACGACTCGAAATCTCGGATTTGATGCAATTGTGGGCTCCTCATGTGGATTCACTGAAATGTGAGTTTAATCTGCACAGACGATTGAGTTGGTCACAATATATGACGACTACTTATGCTGAATGGAGGGGATTGGTAGGCTTTCGATCGAGGATCTTTGGATGGCCTGTTGTCTACAACGGTACTAATCCAAGAAACCTTGTTGGAGGTCTTCTGGAATGAAGCTTTTCGTTGTATGTCATAGAAGAACTACCTCTTTCGTTCATGCTTTCCACTCATTACAAAGCCGTTTTTCTCTCCTATAGTTCCCAAGTCATCACGCCTACCTACTTAGATTAGGCGAAAACAACTATGATTCGAAATGAATCTCATCCCATGATTCCCTCATCTTCATGAAATATCGCATTTGCCAAAATACATCACCGTGACCTGTCCCTTTCTCGTGATTCTAGGAGGTCTTCCTTGAGTTCCAATTGATGCTTCTAAATATCTGAGCGGTGCAAATATGGCAATTATCTTTTTTACGAACTCTAAAATGAATTGTGTCTATTCGAGCAACTCTGATGGCGCATTTGTGAATTCTTCATCGTGAGTGCGAGTTCTTTCAGTGCCCCCCCCCCGAAAACTATCAAAGCTTTCCTTTGATTCCAAATCACTGTCTGCTCTATTGACCCGTTACAACCAATATCAAGGTACCTCATGCCAGCCAAAGTATACACAAATGCACAAATTGACATCCAACAATGAGCAGTCTCGAGTCCTCTCTCTACATCTAGAAAAACTCTCTCGACAAGTACTTTCTTTTCAGTGTCACATTTTGAAATTGAGATCTAGATGCGAGTTTGCCTATCCTAGTCTATATATGACAGCATGCATACGCTATGCTATATGCGCTTCAAATCTTACTTTGCGATCTCAAACCATTTACCCAGCTGAATCTTGAGAGCCTTCCAACATACACAAGCTCTTTTCATATACCATTACTTCCTTCCCCCTGTCACGCTCCCACCGACCACGAGACAAGAACAAACCCGATATTCAAAAGTCCACCATCTCAATTCTAAGTGATCATTTTCTCTCTATTCGATATGTATCAAAAGAAAGTCCACAACCGAAACTGATAAGACGATCCATATGACGAGCTTCCGAAAAGTTCATCTCACCTAGCTATGTAATCGCGGGGGCTGGCTTTAGATTTTGGGTCATGCGAGTAGAGTAGTCCGCCATTGAGCAATTTATTCATATAATATGTTATCGAAATTTAAGTGCGGATTGATGTATAAAACAGACTTAGGTAGACTGTTTGTATGATACCTACCTAGGTAGGTAGTTATTTATTCATTTATTTATAGTCATTGACTAATCGATTAATAGTAAATACTAACATCTCATCTCATCTCATCTCATCTCATCTAATCCACTCCCATCCCATCCCAGCCCTCCTTTACCAACCCAGGTCCAGGTAACCTTAAGCGACAAAACAGATGGAAATTGAGTAACTATCTTTTCAAAAAACTTCTTCAATAGATTAAAAATTCCTTCCAAATGAAATACCTATTGAAATCTAAAGAAAGCAAACGAAAATTCGAGTCTTTTTTATATTGATATTAGCTGAATGCTTTTATTATTTATTAAAATTCAGTCAAAGATTGATCACTTCCCGTAGAGCCCTCGAGCCCTCCCCTTCTTTTCCTTCCACAGAAAATCCCCCACTTCCACTTCCACTCCAAATCCCAAATCACCACCAATCACCAATCAGCACCCTCCCCACACCTCTAAAATATATATTTCCAAAACCCCCTCAGAACTCCATCAAACAACACACACCCAAGCGGCTTTAGCTCACTTGGGAGAGCGCCAGACTGAAGTCCACTTCTGTTTCGTAACCGTTAGGTTAATCTGGAGGCACTGTGTTCGATCCACAGAAGCCGCATTCTGCGAGTTGGGGTTCACCCTGACTTTATTTCTTTTTTCTTTTTTGGGGGGGGGGGGGTTTGTTTAGAGAGAGGCAGGCAGGCAGGGCTCTAGGTGAAGAAAGGGAGATTTCTTTTTTTTTGCGGAGGGATGGGGATGGAGTTCTTTCGGGGGCTCGGGGTTGTGGATGGATGGGTAGATGGGTGGGTGGGTGAGTGGGTACGTGTAGTTTAGTGGGAATTACTACCTACTTACTACCTACAACTTTCAAGCTGTGTGCGAAGCTGTGAAGCTGTGAAGCTGTGAAGCTGTGAAGAAATGTAAATAAATAAATAAACAAAGAAAGATAGGGTTCTCATTTCTCACAAGAAGTGGAGATAGGTATGAGGCTCGAGATGGGGTTAAGTACCTACCTACCTACCTATCTAGCTAGTTAGAGCTCACCTTACCTTGCGATATCTACTCGTAGAAGATGGGAAGTAAGTAGGTAGGTACTCTGTAGAACGATGAATGAATAGAATGGAAGGGGAGGAGAAGAGGAGGTGTTACTAGGTTCTTATTTATCTATTTGTATTGCTTTTGTATTTTGTATTTTGTGGGATATATAATGGTATATATATGATATAGTATATATATATAGTCTTGAAAGCAGCATAGATAGTATAAGTATATTTTTATAAAAGCATATATACTTCTACTTTTACTTGCACTTCCATTTCCATGTCTATATCAGACAGAATGGATATCTACTCTACTCTACTCTACCCTGCCCTGCCCTACTCATGATAGATTGATGGTATTCTCGAGAAAGCAAAAAAACAAAAACAAAAAAACATAACTGTGCCATTCATTTATTTCATGAGGCTTTATTCATTAAAAAGTATATCTCATCTCATCTCATCTCATCTATTACAACGACCACAACAACAACCACAACAACAACCACAATAACAACAACGATAATAATAATAATAATACAGATAATTGATTGCTTCATCTCATATTTATGCATTCAGCATCGCGTAAGGTCATGTATATCGATTGAAGAACCATTCTACGCCGCTATCAAGACCCAAAGTCTTTGATTTATGTTAGTATGATTCATGCATGAGAGAAGAGGAAAGGAGGGGAAGAACTTACAAAAAGAAAATCATCAAAACACCAAACATCTTAGCAACCAACCAGCGATTACCAGATACCCTCGACCAATATTTCAATAATTCTCTTTGAGCCCCTTCAACATTATCCACCACATCTTCTGTATTCGCATCGATTCTCTGAATCATTTCGCTCTGTTCCGAAACCATCGTAGCCAATTGTCCAAAAATACCTCCGAGTTCATTAATCGTCCGCTCAATTGCTTCGATTGCTTCTCCTCTCTGATGAATGTATTCATTTTGCGGTTGCGCCTCTTCCATCATCAACAGCTGTTGATCACCCACGGGATTTAAGCTTAACAAATCCTGACCCGGGCCTGGACTTCCTCTCGTGGGCGTACTATACAGAGGGCTCGCCGATTGGGAAATATTGGGCTGAACATGGGAGGACACTGACGAAACGAAATTCTCGGTGCGGGAGCGCGAGGCTTGGATATTCTTGGTGCGGACCTCGAGGACATCTTTGAAGTTGGCGGATACGTCGGTGAGTTTTCCTTGGAGCATGAAAACGACATTTTTGTTATGCTCGCCTTCTTGATCAGCTTTGGGATGTTGTGCGCGCGTGAGGCTTTGAAGACTGGAGATTTGTTGGTTGAGCGAGGAGAGATCTTGTTTGATGATGAAGGTGAGTTCGTTGATTTCGACAGGTCGGTCGTCGAAGAGGGTTTTGCGTTTTGCCACTATTTCGTAGATTAGTATACGTACAATTCTCTGCTTCTTATTGTCTATGCATCCTCCCCGACTTAAAATAATAGAACGGTCCAATCTTACATTCCGCCAACTTCTGTAACTTCTCCATGGTTCCCGTTATCCCTCTCCCAATCTCGGCCGCTTTCCTCGCAAATTCAGATCGCCGCGGTTTGCCATGTGCATTCGCATCGCCATTTGCAGCGGCCTTTTGGGAATCGGATAGGAGGGATTGTCTCTGGGCTCCGACTTTCGAGGAGGCTTGTCTCTTTTGTACTTGTGTTAAGACGGATCGGAACTCGTTTGTTCGATCTTGTATGGATGCGACGGCCATCGCGATGGATTGTGTGGATAGATATATCTGTTCTGATTTTCGCAATGGTTTTGGGTGGTTATCCAGATTTATTGGTGGGTTAAGTGCAGAATTATTCTTCTTTGTTCGCGGATGGGGAGGTGGTTGAATATTTGGGATTCTTCTTGATTGTGTTGTTGTTGTGTAGACCCTCGAGGCGCAAGTTAATTTAATTATTTCAAGGTTTTGTACAGGGTGTTATAAAGGTTGAATGTTGAAGACAATGGTGTATCGTTTTGTTGAAGGAGTATGAGAAAAGGTTGACGAAAGTTTGATTGATGTAAATGTTTTATTAAAAGGTGTATTCAAAGTTGGCATCTAATAAGAGTATTTGTTGATTGTGAAGTTGATGTGATGAATGTAAGGATAATAATTTACAGAGAGAGTACAAGTGATTACCGGTACAGGAATAGAATAGGACAGCTGGTGTTTTGAGTTCTTGCTTCAGTGTTTTACATTGTACTCCGGAGAATTCTTGGTGTTCCATTAACCCTGAAACTGAGCAGCTAAGCCTAGAGTTCGGTACTGGATTAGATATCTCTCACTATGATTACTATTCCAGCCTTGGAAGGAGATAAGGCCACCCCTATTGCCTCCAAAAGGATGTTGTATTGGCTGTGTCTGCGTGTGTGTCTATGTGTGTCAATCTTGATCACTATTCTCTCTGCCGGGCCTGTGGGTTAATTTTAAGAAAAAGCTTTAAATCTACGATACAATACCGTACAATGCGATACAATTGAAAATAAAGACCCTTTGAAATCCTTCGACGTTGTGGCTGAGTTCCAACTCAACGCTTGTCTGTGGGTCAAGAATTCATCATCTTATCATCATCTGGTGATCCTATGCATGACTTGACTATCTTATTTGGTCTATTTGCCTTCATATGAATGTGTAATTACTAGGAGATTAAATCAATGAATGTCCTATATTAAGATTTCTTTCAAGCTTGTAAGGTATCTATAAGGTATCTACTAGGTAGTTCATACTCTATACTAGATACATACATACATACATAGGTACATACATGCATATATCTACTAGGTACATGCACACATACACTAACTTAATACCACGGTCAATCACCTAGAAAATATTACATCAACAACAACACAATATACATCACCCTCCTTATCAATGAATCTCCAAAATTCACCAATAGATAATCTATAATACCCCGTCATCTCTACGTAATACCTACTCAAGTACTCATACCTCTGAGTTGAATGCTTTCATCCTTTCATCGAACGTTTCATCACTTCATCCTTTCGTCTACCTACCTACTCAGGTACGTACTAGGTAGCCTTCCTTCCTTGTACGAGGTCTCTCTTACTTCATCAGGAACCCCTTACCCCATTCCCATTCCAAGAAACCGGGGGGGGGCAATCACGCAGCCACAGCATTCATCTGAACTTCTGAAAGATTTCCCGATAATCAAAAAGTCGTATCTGATCCACTCCCTCACTCCCTCACTCCCTCACTCCCTCACTACTACCTACCTACTCTCTCACATATTCCCTCATCGTCCTCATCAAAAGAAAGACGCCTCCAACAAACAATAAATTTCTGACTTCCATTGCCACATTCGATCTTCTCTCAATAAATCAAAACATCCACTTTTCGTCATCCGTCATATTTCATGGTCAAAAATATGATTCTCCCGTGGATCGCGAAGAATTAATGTTTGTCGTCGCATCATGGCAAGGCCATATTTTAATACCTCGGACAAGAATGGGTCATTATTGTAAGCTTCTCCAGATCACTTTCGCAATCCATCCTCACAGGCCACCGAGAACCCTACTAAACAATACATCACCAGGAATCCTACGTCTGGAGGTTCAAATACTCCCATATCCTACAGAGCGAATGTAAATCGACAAAAGACAAAGAAATGGGCCGAGGCAAAGAAGATAGATTATGGAGGTGACGACTGGGGAGATGACGACGAATACGACCCTTATGATGCATATGGAAATGAGCTCGAACCAGCACCCGCACCTGTATCGAAACCTACAGGTCTACGTCAACCAGGTCAAGGGCTTCCCAGTGCGAGAGGAATGTCCCAGGATCGGAGTCAGAAGAGTTATGGCAATCTCCCCTCAGCTTCTATTGGCAGCCCATTGAATCGAAGAAATTCCTTCGAGGCGGACGACGAGACGAGGCACTTTTCGAATGCAACCATTCGGCAAGAATCACCACTACCTACCTCCCCGCCTCACTCTGCCGATTCTTCAACCGCTGCCGCAACTCGGTTTTCTCAAATGGGTGTGGGAGGTATAAAGCATACACGCGATCCGAGTGGCCCCCCAACTTTACATATATCTACACAGCAGCCATCTCCTACAGGATTACGAAAACCTTCCTTGTCTGCTAATCCCGTGCTACCCGAATCTTCATTTAATAACGAAACCATTTCTCAGCCAGGTCGCACTAATACTAATGATTCGTCAGTCTTGTCGGTCGGTTCAGTCAATACACCAAGCGATTATGGAAATTCCAAGGATTTTTCGCCGTCGGCAGTACCGGCCCCATTATCTATGCGGCCTGCACCTGCCCCGCAAAGCGCAACCACTGCAGCTCCAGCTACCAAGTTTCCTGCACGAAAGAGCAGCCTGAGTACCATGGGAACAGAAGCTCAACGCATTTATCAAAAATCTCATGAAACTATAGGACAACCGTTTCCAACAAGTTCCAGACCTTCACCTTCCCCTGGCTCTGCAGATCAGTCTGCAACAAACCCAGGTGCGTCCAATATTAAACCTTTACCTTTTATCAGACCCGCGGATATTTATCGTCGAGTTGAAGAGGAAAAACAAGAAAGGGAGCGGGCATCATTAGATTCAGGCAGACCTAGTATGGACTCACTTGGAATGGAAAGGTCGAGTGACATATCACATTCACCAGGCCAAGGGGCTGTCCGTGGAAGGTCGAGTTCTGATAGTTTGGGACCTGGAAATAGAGGAAGATTAAGCTTCGGGGATGAAGGTTCTGACTCCGGAAGACGTCTGATGCCAATCCTAGAACCTGTTAGAGAACGAAAGAGTGAATACGGCTTCGATGGATTTAATGCTAATCAACTTCCACCACCAGCCCAAGAGATCGCAAATCCTCCAACTGAGCTTGAAATTACAAGTCCCATCCTCCCGGACGTGCATCGAATTTCCGGATTTGGTTCTGGCTTTTTGTCCCGACCAACAGATGATAGTGCCTCCGCTCCTCCATCCGAAACCATATCGGAACTACCAGAGCAAACCTCCCCAGGAAATTTTGATCAGCCAGCAGATACCTCTCTTCGGAGCCAACCCTCTTTCGGGTTCAAGTCTGTAGTCAACCAAGCTTTCGATAGGAAGGATGATAATTCAGTTCCTCCAACACCAGTTTCTAATACTGAAGGTAATGTAAAGAGATCTGATAGTGAAAGTACTGGAACCACTGGAATTAGTCCCATTATGAGTCGTGGTCCAAGCACCGCAGACAATCGAGGTCGTGAAATGTCAACTCCTGCTATCATGGAGCAAGTTGAACCTATCTCTCCACGTCTTCAAATGATTTCAAATGAAAGCGATAGTCGGATGGTTCCACCGACTTTTATTCCAGGTCATCGACGCGATATCAGTACTCCAAGTCCAGGAAATAGCCCCGCCCGAACACCAGATCTCGGTAATGCATCCAAAAGAATATCAATGGGAGAACAGGCCTGGATTTCATCTGCAAGTCCTACTTCTCCCACCGAAGATGCCCGCGAAGACGCTGATCCAGAACCCCCGCGTCCAACCCTCGATCGGGATGTGAGTTTCCGCCCTCAAATACCCGGTGGATGGGAGTCGTATACGACCACTGCAACCACTAGCACTGTTCAAGCAGAGACACCGCGGTCACCGTCTCCTCAGGCACCGAGTGATCCAGCTCAAGCTTTAGCAATGGAAGATTTAACACCCACTACTACTAAACACTCTCTTCCGGAGTCATCTTTAGAAGCAGCACGTGTTACGCTCGGTGTCAAATCCGAATCTATGCCGACACCTGATCCAAATGGAAATGTACATTCTGCTATGACGCCGCATCCGGAATTAATACCTAGTCTAGAAAAGGCTTCGCCTGGAGCTCAACTGCGTCCTGACTATGTTGATCAGCCCAACCCCCCAGATTCTTCACCTAAACCACCAATTGAAGACAACCTGGTCTCTAGTGAAGAATCCGCATCGGAAACTCTTTTAGAACCAACTAACGATTTCCAATTGAATACAGCAGATGCCTTTAGTGCGGATGAACCACTTCTCCCACCTTTGCGACCACAGGTATTGCCAACTCTGAGCACTGACACTGGACCTTTGGATGAAGAAAATGACAGACTCCGAAAAGACATAGTCAAAAGTTTATCCCCGCGCCCATCACAATCAGAACACGTTCATGAAAACTTGCGTGAAAGACCAATTTCCGATAATATGGATGAATCGCGAGAAAGTACATACTTAACGGATGTGTATGATGATTACTGGAATGATATAGGTGATGAAGAGCACTCGTCTCCAATAGCAACAGCATCTCCCGATATGCTACAAGCAGAGCAAGCTATTCCAGCAGACATGCCAGAAATCCGACCTCTCAGCTCTCACCGAATGTCAAAGCAGCAAGCTCGACCACCTCTACCTACTCGTTTCTCTTGGGAGAAAAGCATGGATACTGTAGCCCCAACTGACACCGGCATGCCTGAATCACCTACAAATCAAGCTGAGCTTCCCATTGAGAAAGACAGTACACAAATTGAAGGCCTCCAGCAGATTGACCCGGAACCATACATGGAGAAGGAAGTTTTAGAAGAGGTTCCACATAACGATAATCACGTGGAAAGAAATATTCCCTTGGGTGTCGGTGCCGTGCTTCTTGGAGGTGGTGCTGCCGCTGTTACTCAACACACGTTCAGCCCTGAATCTCCGCCCGCGGTTAACGTTTCTTTGGCTCAAGAAAAGGAGCAGCCGCAATTT